GGAAAAGGACCTTGAAGTATCTGGAACAACGACTGAAAACCTCTGTCGCCAACTAACAACATCATGAAATATCAGAACCTGAGAAATAAAGAAAACCCTACAAACTTCCAGAGATTACAACCAAATCCACGGCATCAGAACTGACAATGGCACTGGCTTCTCAACAGCGCTCTAAGAAGGCAGAAGAAAATGAAACAGTGCTTTCAAAATGCTCAGAGGAAGTTATTTCCAGTTAATAATCTCTAGCCAGCCAAACCATCAGCCAAGTGCGAAGGAAGAAAATTTGCATCTTGAATGCACAAGGTCTCAAAAAGCAGCCAGGTCTTGTGGGGCCTGAATTTTATATAATTTTGGGAGCGCTCTTTAAGGAAAAAAACTCAGAAACTTCCAAATACAAAACTGGGTGTGAAAGTGAATATTTACTCAGATTGGGAGAAGAGATCACAACAGTTGGAGCCATGCAAGTTCAGGACTCTTTCTTTTAAAATCCCTTTAGAAAATTTACCCGAAATGTTTCTCGGAGGCAGCCTGGCTTTCCCTCACCACCCCACAGCTCACGGCGGTTTCAGCCCTCACAGGAGCCCACAGTGCTGCTGGCTCCAGGACAAACCTGCCTCTGTCTCCACGTGCCTTTTCTCAGGAAGCTGTGCTCAGCAAAACCGAGGAATGAGAAGGCATAGAACCCCAGGCAGGAATCCAGTGCATTTCACAGGGTGGTCGCAAGGGGGCTCAGGGCGTCGCAAGGGGCTCGGAGAACGATAACTAGGCCCAGAGAATGGGGGCCGTTCAGGGATGTTTCCAAGAGAGAAAGAAATCAAACTGGTTATTCCAGTTTTAACTCTACTGAGAGGAATTTTACCATCCTGACAAAGTTTGAACAAGAGCTGGTAATGAGTATTCAAAAATCTAAGCAACTGAAGAAGATGAAGCAATCAATCACTAACTTCATGGCTCAGAAGAAGGTAGTACGTGAAAGGAAGTGTAAAAATCATGGCTTGTCATATAGCACAGTTGTGAATAATATTTGCAAAGTCATAATAATGTAAACAGTAAATAAACATGGCTATATAAAAAAAATAGAATATAACCATATTGGGACCTTGCAAGAAATGGAAGTGAATATGAGATAGAATGATAGGGTATAAAGAAGAGAAATCCTCAGCCTCCAAGGTAAGAAGTCAACAGATATTATCTAGAGCTGAAAAAAGAAAAAGAAATAGCCGGTATCACGTTGTTTGGAAATGTGGTGGAAAATAGGAGAAAAACATAGCCCAAAGCATTACACGTAGTTGCCTCTAGGGGGCAGCTCAGTGTACACTCCATAAAGACTCGAGGACTTATTCCTTCTAAAACTGTGTTTGTTAATACTGACCAAAAGAGAAAATGTAAGAAGTAATACCTCAAGCAGAATGATACAGAAAGTTGTTGGAAATAAAATGAGGAGCCCCTGCTGAAGGACCCCTAAGTCAGTGTTTTGAAAATTGGGCTCCTGCAATCACTCATATTTCAATCACCGGGAGTGCCAGTTTATTCCAGACCTAAAGAGTCAGCATTTCTTGGGGTGGGATTCCGAATCTATAATTAAGAAGTTCCTCTAGACCCACTGCATATCATACTTTTCAGTAAACCAAAAAACAGAATAAATAAACAAACAACCCACAGACCTATGCAGAGACGTAGAGTCAATGACTGTGAAACGTACTAGGGCAGACTCTGCTAATGCGCACCCAATCGATATCCGCACTCCCTTCTTCCTGATTAACAGAATCCCGCCCCCCCCCCCCCGCCTTGTTGTTCCGACAATGCACCTGACAAAACAGTTGGCTGTCGCAGGCTCCTTTACGGTTAGGAGTGGCTATGTGGCCCAGTTCTTCCGTGACTGAGATGTAAGAAGTGGACTGGGTGGGGCTTTCAGGAAATATCTTATTATTATTATAAAAAAGGACAGAGTCAGCCGGGACGTGCCTTCTGCCCTCCTGGGAGAGAAAGGAGAGGCGCCTGTCTCCCAGGGCGGGAGAGAGCGGTGTGGGGAGGGTGGGGGGTGCAGGGGACAGAGGCAGCGGTCCCAGCCTTGGACTCCTCAGCTCCAGGCATCTGGTTACTTCAGAAAAACAAACTTCTTACTAAAGTCGCTGGGGCAAGGTCGTCTGTTACGGTGGCCGAATGGAATCATAATGACATCTCACACATGTTTGAATGTTTATTTCCTAGATTTATCTTTTGAGGAATTTAATGTGCAAAGAATTCCAAATAATAACATGCAATACCTAGAGTTAATAATAGTTAATATTTCTTCATATTTGTTTTTAGATTAAAAAATTTTAATTTATTTATGTTTGTAGAGAAGGGGGAAGGTAGGGAGAAAGAGAGGAAGATAAACGTCGATGTGTGAGAGAAACAATGAAGGGGTTGCCTCTCGCTGCCCCCAAGCAGGAACCCAGCCCACAACCCAGGAATGTGCCCTGACCAGGAATCAAACTGGTGACCTTCTGGTTCGCCACAGGCCAGTGCTCAAGCCACTGAGCCACATCAGCCAGGGCTGGGCTTGGTAATCTTTAAGGCTATCCTCAGGTCTACAATAATTCTGTGACTACATTGAACAATGGTGGGCAGGAAATACACTAAACAACCACAACTCCTCACCCCCAAAACAAACAAACAAACAAACAAACAAACAAACAAACCCACCCTGGAGGGGGCTGTGGTATAATGGAAGAAGTTCTGCTTCGAGTTCTGGCTACCACTTAACAGATGCATTCGCCTGGGCCATGTACTCAATATCTCTAAGGTTCAGTTTCCTTATTTATGAGCTCGGCTATTACTCTTCCGTCCGAGTGCTGCTGTGGAAATCGCCTGTACTCTGTAAAGCCCCCTTCCAATTCAATACCAACGAGATACCGAAAATGCTTGTAATTTCTAAATCCTGCAAAGGAAATACGTGAGTGCACTTTGATACCTTCAGTTTAATTTTTCATCACATAAAGCTGACAGATCTTTTGAGTTTCCTTCCTCCTTGTGGCCCATTTTATTTTTACACAAGAGAACAGACAAGAGAAGCAGAAATAGCTAAAACTCAAATCATCCCTCTTTGCTCCTAGCCCCAGGAGAGGTTTGGCGGGCAGTTGAAAGGGACCTTGGGTTCGAATGAGTGTGGGATCGCAGCACTTACATTCACTGTTGCACAGTCTTGTGAATAATTCAGGTTTTGTTTTATGACCTGTCCACAGAAAAAAGTCTCGAAATGAACTGTGTCCACACAGTCATTAGTCGATGACACACAATCATAAAAAGTTTTGCAATAACAGGAACCTTGGCCCTGGGTGTGGCTCTGCAGATGGCAAAACCGCCCCTCTCCCCTTTTCCCAGCAGATGCGTTTATGGAGAAGAGATAGACCTTCGATTACAGCCAACCTAGCTAACACCTGTACTTTGACCAATTAAGCACAGCGGCCGAGGTGAACTTGAAGGTGGTGGGGAGATAAGAAAGACGTCTTTCTTCCTCTTTACCGATTTTGTCCCCAGCCCTTGCCAAACTGTGACTATCTCCAAGTCCTATTGGCTGAGATTCTGGAAGGGACACAACCAAGGAGGTTTTGGGGAAAATGCCAAGTGGAGAGAGTTAAATATTTAACTGGTGCTAAAGGGGATATTCAGTGGCACCAGCTACTCTGTCACAATCGACACCCACCAGATGGGTGAGGGAGGAACCCGCAGAATATAAGGAAAGATGTATCTGAGAGATAAGTAACAGGTGGTACTGTTTCCACCTCCTAGGGAAGAAGTGAGAGGAAATCAAAGCTCCTTAGAAAAGGAAATTGCACGCCTGGCTCTCAAAATACCAGAACAGATAACACACGACCAGAAATCACTCCTCACTGGTACCTCAGGCACTGCCCCCTGTGAAACCCCGGGCCGAGTTCGATAAAGCCGTCCTATCAACTCCGTATCTGTTCCAGAAACACTCCGCACACAGGGCAAGCGCGTCATTGTTAAGCCTACAAAGGCTTGGCCACAAAGAACTCAGTCGGAGGCGGGCTGGTCTGTATTCGCAGTGCAGCCCGATCCTGCCCCCCGCCGCCCCCACCCCCCACGGCGTTGCTCATCTGTTTCTTAGGAACACTAAGCCATACCACCCACTAAAATGAATGTAAAAATACAGGTAAATTTCTTAAGCCACTTGGCCAGTCAGGCAACGTGAAGAGTGGGGCAGGGGACAAGGGGTCAGGGCAGAGGAGGGCAGTGGTAGAAACGGAGGGACAGAGTGGGAGGGAACGTGAAGGAAATGGTCATTCTGTGACTTTGAGAAGGGGTGCCCCGCTAAATTTAAAATCGATCTCTTCCATAAAGACACAGGGTTCCTTTACTGAAACACAAAGGTTTCTTACAACTACAGCTGGGTCGCATCTCCTCCAGACCCGGGCAGGGTCACCTGACCTTACTTTTAGGTCCCACGCACACCTCTAACCTCACCTCCGCTCTTCTGGGGCCCGCACCCACCGGCCTGTCAGTGGAAGCGGGATAATGGCTCAGGAGACCATCAGTCAGTCGCCTTGGTAGGTTCCAGGCTTCCTGGCCGCAGGACGGTGTCTGACCGGTGACTTTGCGGATGGGAGCTTAACAAGGACAGGCAGCGGGGGTGTTAAGCCCACCGTCCCGCGCAGCCCACCGACAGCAGCTTTGGGCTGCCGGGCCAGACACAGCTATCACCGCCCGGGGCTTCTCTATTCCTGGGGGCGGGACGGACGGCAGGGGCTTCACACTTCTAAGCTCCTCTCACGCGGCGGCACCGGCAGCCGGACCAGCCCGGGATGCAACACATTCATTCCAGGGCCGCCGGCGATCCGAAAGGAGAGGGACGAGGCGGGAGCTTCTCCAGCCGGGAGCCTTCCAGCTCTTCCCGCCTGAGCCTGGTCCGAGCCTTCCACCCTCGCATCCAAGCCCCCTCCGCGTCCGTGCCCCTCCCCACCGTCCGAGCCCCCTGCCCACTGCTCGCATCTCACCTGTGCTGAGCGCCTCCAAGCAATCCGCTGGCCGCGCGTCCTGCGTGCTGGCGCCGAGGAGCAGGTGCGAGCGCCCCACCCTTCTGGGCCGAGCCACTAGCCCGCCTTCCCCAACCCTGCGCGGTTGCCGTGCCTTCCTTTTAAAAGCCTTCACTCTTATCCACGCCCCTGCCGTCCAGCTGACGTTTTCCCTGGGCCACTCCCTAAGGTGTGCGCTCCGGCAAGGGCCGGTCCCTGGGCACTCAGGACAGACTGCGACCAATAGTGACCTCCTAAAATGCAGAGCAATTACCGAGCCTGGGAGGGGTGGCAAGGACTCGGGGCCGAGGCTGTCCTAAGGAAAATTGACTGTGTCACATCCTGGACCAGAACCCAGTGTTGTAGTTTAAGCTTGGTGCCACATGGGTTTGCTGGTTCGTTCGTTCATTCATTCATGCATGCAAGCATTCATTCCACACCTCTGCCGCATGCTAGGCAGGCACAGTTCTAGGTGCGGGAGAGAGCTGCGAAGGATGGGAAGACCCTGCCTGGAAGGAGCTGCTTCCTGCTAAGAAATGCACGAATTTCTTCGTAGCATCATGTGGTCTCAACGCTCTCATCTGTAAGTTAAGGGTTGGCCTAGCTGAATCGCTTCCCACCCTGTAGTTCACAACCCACCGTGGGAGTGGAAGATCGCGGGAGCTAGGGCTGCAGTGCAGACCCACTGATCAGAATCTGGGAGGAGCGCGGGCAGACGGGCTTCTTATCGGCTCCTCGGTGACCGCAGGAGGCCAGGGTTGAGGACCTCCCTCCAGTCCTCCGAGATGCCTTCCCACAACGACAGCGTTGAGGGAGCTGGACACCAAGAGAGCCTTCGTGGAAGAGACGCGCTGTAAGTAGGTTTTTAAAAAAGGCAGAGAATATGCATTAGCAGGGTGAAAGGGAGGGGATCCCAAGTGCAGCTTCGTTTGATCGAATAGCTTTTCTTTTCCACAAAGTCAAAGGAAGGCATTTGGGAGGATAAGGCATAAACTCGAGCAAATCTCTGTCTAAGAGTGAATGAAGCCGGGCGGAAGGAGATAATGGCCGAGGGGCACCGATACCAGTTAAAAGGCTAAGGGAGCCACACGTCTGAGATGGAAAATGTGCCAGAGCCAGAGCCGGAGCCGAGAGTGCCTCTCTAATTTACCATCACCTTGGAAACTCTTTCCCACCAGCCCGCATCCTGGCACTTGAATGGACGAGGAGGTGGAGTTCCAGAAGCCTGGGAAACCCTGTTCCTTGTCCCCAGATTGCTGCCACGGTCAGGCTTTCCCCTTAATACGGTTTTCTTCTTCAATAAAGCGTCGACGACGAAACAAACGTGTGACCTCTTGGTTGTAGTTACTGATGGGTAGAGATGCTTCTTAACAATGAAACTTGGAATGAAGAAAATGTTCTCTGCCTCAAATTACAACATCCAAGTGCCAGAACAAACTAGTTCTTACAAAATAAGTTTCACTATATTTAACTGGACCTGTAAAAACAATGGGAATCAAATAGCTTAAACCAGTTAATGAAAGATAAATTACTACTATATCAACAACTATAAATTAATACAATAAGAACAGTTAACAATGATTATAAAGCTATTTTAATATAACAGATTTGCATCTAAAAATAGATCTGATTATATGTGGGCCTTAATAAACACAAGAATGGCATTTTATTTTATTTTATTTTTAGTTTAAATTTTTTAAAGGTACAATTTTTAAAGATTTTATTTATTTATTTTTAGAGAGAGGGGATAAGAGGGAGAAAGAGAGAGAGAAACATAGATATGTGAGAGATATATCGATTGGTTGCTTCTTGCACACACCCAACTGGGGATCTGGCCCGTAGCCCAGGCACACGCCCTGACTGGGAATCGAACGAGCAACCTTTCAGTTCGTAGGCCAACACTCAGTCCAGTGAGCCACAGCATCCAGGGCAAGGATGGTGTTTTAATTAAATGGAAAATGGTTTATTTTATAAACATTGCTGACATGGTCGACTATTCTTTTGGAAGATCTTATTGTAGAGCTGCTCATTATCCAGTCTCTTTTGGCCATCCTGGTAGTAACTGGGCACATGGCCACCCAGAATGGCTGTGATTTCTCAGTCTTTCTTTTGGCTGGGCTGGGTTACGTGACTAAGTTCAGGACTATAGGCTGTGAGTAGAAGTGGTACAGGCAGCTTCTAGGCAGAGTGCTGAAAGGAAGTGGGTGTGTCCCTCTTCTCACTTCTCTCCTGCTGCAGAATGGACTGTGGACATGACAGTGAGCCATGGTGGGCCGTGAAAGTGGATGGTGGCATAAGGAGATACAAAGAGGCTGGATTCTTGCATTGTCTCATGTAGTAGTTTCCTCACCGGTCCTGGAAGGCCCATAAAATTATATCCTGTATAAGTCACAGCTTCTTGAGATTTTTGTTATTTGCCGCCAAATCTATAACCTAACTATTGCAGAACATCTACCCTTCTGTTTTATATCATGAAGCAAAAAAATTAAAATTGGCTTAAAGAAAGATCTAAATATCTACTCACTTTGCCCAGTAATCACAGTTTGGAGATTTTAATACATCGTAAGAACCTTAAAGATTCTGACTGCAGCATCATTTATAATGAGAAACGTTTGTCAATGTGGGAGCAGTTAAATATAGCATAGCATGCCCTTTCTGTGGTATATTGTGTAGTTTTAAAAAAGGATCAATTAGATTTATATTTATTGACCAGGAAAATAGTCACGATGTATTGTTCACAAGTTTGCAGAGCAGTGAGGAATTCTTTTGTGTGTGGTAAAATATGTATAACATTTTCATCATTTTAAGTTATATACTACAGTGGCAATCAGTACATTCACATTACTGTGCAACCATCATCACTATCTCCAGAACTTTTTCATCGTCCTACATCGAAACTGTATACCTTCAAGAAACAACTGCCCATTTCTCCCTTTCCCAGCCCCTGGTAGCCCCTGGTAAACTACATTCTGTGTTTATACACTTGACTACTCAAGGCGTTTCACATGAGTGAAATCATACAGGATTTGTCCTTTTGTGTCTGATTTAACTCACTTAGCGTGTCTTCAAATTTTACCCATGTTATAGCATGTATCAGAATTTTACTCCTTTTGAAGGCTGAATAGGACTCCAATGTACATATGTACTACATTTTATGTATCCCCTCATCTGTTCATAAACATTTAGGTTGCTTCCACCTTTGGTTTTGTAAATGATGCTTCTGTGACCCTTTGTCTAAAAATACCTGCTTGGGTTTCTGCTTGCAATTGTTTGGTGTGTACACTCAGGAGTGGAATTACGGGATCGATTCTATGTTTAGGATTTTGAGGACCTGCCATACTGTTTTCCACAGCAGCTGCACGCTTTTACGTTCCTGCCAGCATTGCACAAAGATTCCACTTCTTTGCATCCATGCTAACACTTGTTTCCTGCTTTTTAATAATAGCCATCCCAACGGGTGTGGTTTTGATTGGCATTTCCATAATCAGTTTTGATTGGCATTTCCATAATCAGTGCTGTTGCTCTTTTCATCTCCTTATTGGCCATTTGTGTACCTGTTTTGAGATGTGCCTTTGCCCATATCTGAGGCGGATATATTGGGTTTTATTGTTGCTGCTGCTGCTGCTGAGTTTTTGGAATTTTTTACGTATTCTAGATATGAATCTCTTTTCAGATATGTGACTTGTAAAGATTTTCTCGCATTTAATGGGTTGCCTTTTTACTCTGTTGATAGAATCCTTTGATGCAAAAAAGTTTAACTTTTGATAAAGTACAATTTACTACTTTTGTTTTTGTTGGTGGTGCTCTTGATATCATACCCAAGAAATCAATGCCAAATCCAATGTCACAAAAGTTTCCCTTTATGTTTTTTTTAACAGTTTTATAGTTTCAGCTCTTATGTTAGCTATATATTCGTTTTGAGTTAGTTTTTATATATGGCACTAAGCAAGGATCCAACTTCATTCTTTTGTGTGTGGACATCCAGTTTTCCCAGCACCGTTTATTTGAAGATCCTGTCCTTTCCCCATCGAATGGTCTTGGCATCTTTGTCAAAAATCACTTGACCATAGATGCAAGGTTTTATTCCTGGGATCTGTGTTTTATTACACTGTTCTGTATGTCTATCTTTATGCCAGTGAGATGCTGTTTTGATTATTGTAGTTTTGTAGTAAGTTTTGAAATTAGGAAGTATGAGTCTAATAAACTTGTTTTTAATTTTAAAATTATTTTGGCTATTTGGGGTCCTTTGAAAGCCCACATGATTTTAGGATAAATTTTCTGTTTCTTCAAAAAACATCTTTGGGAATTTGATAGGAAATGCTTTGACTCTGTAGATTGCTTTGAATACTATTACATCTTAAAATTGTCTCCCGTTTATTCATGTCTTCTTTAATTTCTTTCAGCAATGTTTTATAGTTTTCAGTGTATAAGTGTTTCATCTTCTTGGTTAATTCCTATATATTTTATTCTTTTTGATGCTATTGTAAATAAAATTGATTTCCTAATTGCTTTTTTCAGATTTTGTTGTTAGTGTATAAAAATGCAACTGATTTTTGAGTGTTGCTACTTCACCGAATTGTTTATTACTTCTAACAGTTCCTGTGTGAAATAGTTAGGATTTTCTATATATAAGACCATGTCATTTGTAAGTAGAGATCATTTTATTTCTTTATTTCTAACTTTGATGTGTTATTTCTTTTTTTTGCATTTTAATGTATGCCATTTATTATTACCTAATTGTGGCTTTTGCAGTCATTTTTAAAAATTTTATTTTGTTATTTTTCAAGTACAGTTTTTTGTCTATTTCTCCATCCCAGCCTCCCCCGCCCCGGGCTCCCCACGTCCCTCCCATTTCCACCCCCCTTAGTTCTCGTCCCTGTGTCCTTCCTATTTGTTCCTCCAAATCTCTCCCCCTTTTCCCCCTTAAATTCCCTTCCCTCTCCCCTCTGGTCACTGTTCCCTTGTTCTCTATTTCAGTGTCTTTGTTTTTTTTCTGCTTGCTTGTTTGTTGTGTTGTTTAGCTTCCTGTTAAAGGTGAGCTCATATGGTATTTGTCTTTCAACACCTGGCCTATTTCACTCAGCATAATGCTTTCCAGTTCCATCCATG